AAGCAACTGTAATAGGTACTTTGAGTATTCAAGTTCGAGTTAACTTGAAGTTGTCGGTACAGTTAGAGGCTGGTTGCCACAATGAGATTAGAGGTAATTCTTAGGTTTACAAAGAGTTTTTTAAATGCTATTTTGGCCCAGTGATTAAGTAAAGTGTTGGAAAAAATCCTACTGAGTAGTAGGTCATGGTTTTTCACCTTTTGAGCTGAGTGTTTTCCACGTAAAAATATTTATGTTCTTTACTTTCCGCATTTATTATTTCTGCAATAGTAGTTTAAGGAACACATAGAAAAACCAAGTCCTTCTATAATTTGTGCATGCAAAAACTGAACACCACACAAATCACCCCCCTTGTATGGCATTGAAGTATAAAACATCAATGTTGATGATTCTTTTTTGCATGAGAACTGGAACAAAGATTTACGACTCTTTAGTGATGGGTCAGATGGTGGACAAAAGTTGCTTCAGGTATAGCACTCTAGATATCCGTTTCGTATAGGTTGCACGTGTATGTATGTTACTAACTTAGTCCAACTTGTTTGTCAGCTCTTTGTATTGCAAGCAAAATCTGAACTACAATCAATTGGTAGAGAAAATCTTACACAAAACCTCCAGTGTTTGGACAAACTGAAATCTGAGCTCGACCAGTTATTTGGCGACCCTATCTTGAAGTCCGTGAACATGCCAGAAATTGTACAGTGTGAGCACTCGCGGGATGAAATCTTTACACCCAAAAGTTTTGGTAACAGAACAATGGCCAATATTAAATACAAGGGTGATTGGATGAAGATACCCATCTCAGATTATTGAGAGATGTACATATAGCACACTGTATATCTAATTATTCCATGAGGTGGTTAAGTAATTAGAGGTAGTTAGTGGTAGTTAGAGGTAGTAGTAGTTAGTGGGCCAGCTCAATGACAGTTGGATATGCAGCATCTTCTTTTCTACTCTTTGCTTATAAATAGACATTGTACAGGTACCAGTTAATTGAGTTAGAAATGATGTAATTCATCACTTTTTCCAGAATCTTCTCTTCCCTGCTCCATGTCTCTCATTTGAGCAGCGGTGATTTCAATGTCCCCTTCAAGTTTTGACATGGTATCAGATCTTAGGCTCCAATTCTCGATCCAATTCATTGTCAATTCTATTTAGTTCAATTCTTCTCTGGTCTGTTTCTTTTTGAATTTCATCTCCTCTTTGTTCGATTTAGGGTTTTTCAAATTGCGCCTTGATTTCAACAATCTCTCTAAAATTGAGTCTATTTGACGGCTGAATTTTCAACTGGAACTTGTATTTCGTATCATCGACTATTTGAATTATGGCCGGAGAAGAAGATATGACAGATTTATCTAACACTTTGCTGAGCTTGACCAATCCGCTCTATGCATCCATCAGAAAATGCAGGAACTACTCTAGAGATGATTCCTTTTGATGGTTCTGGGTACAGATCATGGAGAAGAGGTGTATTAAGAGCTCTGTCTGTGAAGAATAAGGTAGGATTCATTAATGGAATATGTAAAAATCTAGATGCAAATGATGCCTTATTCGATCAGTGGGAATGGTGCGATGACATGGTGACCTCATGGATACTGAATTCACTCTCTAAGGATCTAGCAGATAGCCTACAGTATGTCACCAATGCAAAAAAGCTCTGGAAATAGCTAGAAGATAGGCACAATAAGATAAATGGAGCAAAACTATATCAATTGCAAAAGGAGATCAGCGATTTAAGCCAAGGGATCCTCAATATCACTGGATAATATGAAAAAGTTGTGGGAAGAGCTAAACACTCTGAACATTCATGCTCAATGCAGCTATCATTGTATATGTGGAGCCAAGGCTAATGTGCAAAAGATTGAATAAGATAGGAGGCTGATTCAGTTTCTCATGGGACTAAACAAAGTGCATACATTGGTGAGGGTAAGTATATTGATGGAAACCCCTACCTAGCATAACACATGCTTTCTCTATTCTTAATCCGGAGGAGAAGCAGAGGGAAGTCAAGTCCCAGAATCAAGTCATGATCGACTCTACTGCTCTTAATGCAAACACTTCAGGTGGCATCACCTTTAAAACAAATTACAATCAGAATTCTACTGGGAATGTTGGTTTCAGAGGAAACTATAATCCTAACAGACCTAGGACTTTTTGTGAGCATTGCAAGAGACCGGGGCATACCAAAGACAAATGTTACAAGCTTCATGGGTATCCATAAGGCATAAATAAGTTCAACAACAATCCACATACTTTCAACAAGTTCAACAAAGGAAAAGTAAATGTTGCAAATGCATTTGGAGGACCGGGTGATAGAATGAATGTTGGAGAAAGAGAAGAAGGAATTTTCCAAGAGCGAGGACGGAATTTGCACAATCTAACTAAGGAACAATATGGACAATTGCTGAGCTTGCTGGAGAACTTCCAATCAGGAAATGAAGGGGAAAATTTTGGGAACACCAACATGGCTGGTGGTGCTGTTAATTTTGCAGGTACTATGACTTGTTACAATTCTGTTGAACATAGTGATCACTCATATTATGGTTTCGAGCATACTGACTCATGGATCCTAGACTCCAGTGCCACAAACCACATGACCTGTAAAAGGTCCTTGTTAACCAATACCAGAACCTTAGTTTACCCTTTCCTGGAATCACTAACAAATAGATATAAGGTGAAGGTGACACTCATTGGATTTGTAGTCCTTAGCCCCAAATTCACTCTAATAAAAGTCCTTTTTGTGCCAAGTTTCAAATATAACCTGATCTTTATTCATTCTTTGACAGTTCAGCTTGATTGTATAGTTGCATTTACCAAATTTGCTTGCTTCATTCTGCAGGACCTTTCAGTGAAAAGGCCTCTGGAGGTTGGTAAAGCAATGTATGGTTTATACTTTCAGTTCTCAAAGTCTGCTTCTAGCGCCATTTGTGGTTCTATGTCTTGCCCTTCCACTTCACATCACACGCATGTAGATAAAACGCTTTCTGATCCACAAACTGTTGTATATAGTCCAGAGTTGAATAAAGGAAGTGGCCATTATGAGCTTAATGTTTTTGTTAATGATGTTGATACTATTGACTCCTAGTGGAAAAATCGATTAGGACATGTACCTTTTGTAAAGATGAGAGTTATCTCAACCATACTTATTAAATTTGCTTCAAAACAACCCTTCATGTACCCCATATGCCACATGGCCATAAAAACAAGATTGCCCTTAATTTCTATTGAAAAGTTCATCATCAACCGAAGTTTTTGAACTATTACACATTGATTTGTGGGGTCCTTATCATGTAACTACTCATGATAGCCACTGATACCTCATAATGTAGATGACTATAGTAGGTCTACCTGGACACATCTTCTGGGCAATAAGAGTAATGCTCTGTATGTGATTAAAGCCTTTTTTACCATGGTAGAAAACTAGTTTGGGACTTCAATCAAGTCCATAAGGACTGATAATTGACTAGAGTTCACCAGTTCTGAGGCTGTTTCATTTCTCCAGTCCAAAGGAATTGTCCACCAAAAGACCTACCCCTACACACCCCAACAAAATGGGATGGTAGAGAGAAAACATAAATACCTACTTGAAACATCTGGGGCATTGCTTTTTCAGTCCAAATTGCCCCTGAAGTACTGGGGAGAGTGTATACTCACCTCCACATACCTGATAAATAGATTACCTTCATCCTCCATAAATAATAAATGCCCATATGAACTACTATACAAGAAAAAGCCTAACTACTCTCATCTCAGAAGCTTTGGCCGCTTGTGTTTCACTACTACACTTAAAAACCACAAAGATAAGTTTGAGCCAAGAGCTACTCCTCATGTTTTGTAGTCTATCCATTTGGTTCAAAGGGTTACAAAGTCTTAAGTCTGATCACAAGGAAGATATATGTGTCAAGAGATGAGGTTTTTCATGAAAATGTGTTCCTTTTCTGCTAGTCTTTCAATTTCGACAATATTTTATGTCCTGAGAAGTTTACCTCTGCACAACAGGGACTCCCGAATGCATCAGTTTATCCTTCTGAATCTGATATGCGTCATGAGTCTCTATACCACTCTAGTGTAGTGTCACCTGAGTATCACCATGATGTAATGTCACTTGGGCATCCAAGTAACCAAGACCAATCACCCATAGCCATGCACCAAAATAATAGCCTAACAACTGAGTCAACTCTATATAGTCAGGACCAACTATATGTTCTTGATCTCACTAACTCTTCTGTATCAAGTAAACCACAAGAGCACCTGAGTCATAACTAGTGTAGACCTTCCAAACCATACAAACACATATTACTTAAAAGAACATTGTATCCAATCCCAAATCTCTAACCATGTTCATCTAGCCAAAGTAAAGAAACACAATCTATATCTTTTACTGGTTTTGTACCAAACAAATAACATTTTTCTTTTCATGTATTGATTCCTAAAAGTCAGCAAATGGTAAGAAACATTGTACATGAGTGTGAACCTTGTTCATATGAAGAGACAGTCATTAATCCTGCATGGCAAGCAACAATGACTCAAGAATTCCACACATTATACACAAACCATACATGGGATTTGGTTCCTCTCCTAGATGGAAAGAAAGCTATAGGATGCAAGTGGGTGTATAAGATCAAGCAAAAGGCAAATGGGAGCATTGAGATATTCAAAGCCAGGTTAGTTGTCAAAGGATACACTGACTATACAAAGACCTTTTCACTAGTGGTAAAGATGACCACTATAAGGGCTCTAGTAGGGACAACATTTAAGAAGGGTTGGCAGATGTTCCAATTAGATATGAACAATACTTTTCTTCATGGAAATCTGCATGAAGAAGTCTACATGGAAGTGCCACCTGGTTTAGTTATAGAGAGACCAGGTTTAGTGTGCAAGCTGAATAAATCTTATATGGCTTGAAGCAGGCAAGCAGACAATGGTATAAAAAGCTTGCAAAAACATTGTGTTCAAAGGGATATACTCACTATTTGCTAGATTATTCCTTATTTCATAAGAAGATGGGTAACATAGTGGTGTTTGTGGCAGTATATGTAGATGACGTTATACTCACAGGAAATGACCTTGATGAGATCAACTCCCTGAAAAAGTTCTCGGACCAGACCTTTAAGATTAAAGACTTAGAGATTTCGCATTACTTCTTGGGACTTGAGGTGCTATACAAAAAAGATGGGTATTGATTTCTCAAAGGAAGTTCACTATGGACTTACTAAGGGAGTATGATTGTTTGCAGCAATCTTCATTATCATCTCCTCATGATCCTTCACTCAAGTTGAAAGCTGACGAGGGTGCTCTATTACAAGATCTCACTAATTATAGAAAACTAGTTGGGAAGCTGAATTTTCTAACTAATACCAGGCTTGACATAGCATTCAGTTTACAACATCTCAGCCAATACATGCAGAATCCTAAAGATACTCACTTAAAAGATGTGTATCATGTGTTGAGGTATTTGAAAGGTGATCCAAATTTGGGGATATTTCTATCTAGCAGAACAGGTTATATGATCAGTGCTTTTTGTGATTGAGACTAGGCTGCTTGCCCCGAGTCCAGGAAGTCTGTTAGTGGGTATTAATATTGCCTGGTGGTTGCGTAGTTAGTTGGAAATCAAAGAGACATTCCACCATAGCCTTATCCTCAGCTGAGGCATAGTACAGGTCAACTAGAGCAGTGGTTGGAGAACTCGTTTGGTTAGTCAGGCTATTTGAAGAGTTAACAATTCCATTGTCTCTCCCAGTTCCAGTATTCTGTGATAGCCAGGCAGCCCCTACACATAGACAAGAACCCAGTTTTCCATGAGCGCACCAAACATATAGAAGTCAACTGTCATTTTGTGCGAGACAAACTTTAGGAAAGTCTGATTTCGTTGCATAATATTTCTACATCTGATCAGTTAGCTGACATATTCACCAAGACTCTCACAGGCATCAAGCACTCCACCTTACTTGACAAATTGGGTGTGAGTTCCTCACCTCCAACTTGAGGGGGAGTATTGAGAGGATGTACATACAACACACTGTATATCTAATTATTACATGAGGTGTGTGAGCACGTGATTTTTGCCCCATGAGAACTACTCCAAAAGAAATCAAAAAATAAAATAAATTTTCGTGTTGTACAATTTTTAGAATTTGCGTGGCATTTTTTGATAATTATTTGAGTTTTTTGTCTGTGAACGCTTATCCTGTTTTAATTAATTAAAATACAAAAAAAACACGTTGCATATGCACTTAGGATTTTTATTTTTACAATTAGGAATTAATTAACCATAGTTGGGTTTTAAAATAAAGAAAGTCACAAAAAATACATATTTTTTGTATTTTTGGCATTTAATGTCCAAGTGCCCAATTTTGTTTGTAATTAATATTTTATTTTGGTGCGATATTTATTGTTAAAGGTCAATTAGTATTTTCTAAGTTAATTTTGTTTTTACAATTTATTTTAGGAATTTTGGTATTTAGGAATTAAAAGGAAAATGAAAGAAAAAGAAGAAAAGAGTGAAAATCGGATTGGGCCATTATTTTTGGACCAAAAATCAGGCCCAAATCACCCATTTACCATGTCCAGTTGGTCTGACCAGAGACGTCTTAAAACGACGTCGTTTGGTCATTCTTAATCAAGGCCATTGGATTAAATCGATCCAACAGCTGAGATTCAATCTCCCTTACCCGTTCCCATGCCCCGACCCATTCCCATCCAAAGACTNACCTCTTCGTCTTTGAGCTTCAGAGACCAAACAGACCCTCTGCCTCTTACCACCGTGCTCCGCCCACCAAAAAATGGCCTCACGGCGGTTCCGGTGGTCCAAACGACCCCATCTTTCCACCACTGATTCCCCTCGACCTCCCCATTTCGAATCCCTAACTCTTATCCCTCGAATCCCAGTCGTGTGCTTCGAATATTAGATTGAAAATCAGAACGGAACCCTATCTCGTCCAATGGCCTCCAATTTCACACCACAGCTTCCCCAAGACTTCCTCGTCCCAGTCCCATACTCATTTCCCTTCGAATCAAGCCCAAGCGTTTCGAATGTTCATTCGAAGACCCAAACCCTAGCGCCGCCACAAGATTCTCTGGTGGCGGAGCCGCCTAACCTAAACCCTCCCAAACTCACACCCACTGAACCACCTAGTTACCGCCGTCCCAAATCTCACCTAGGTTCTGCCCAAATCTTGTCAAAGCCTTTCGAATTTCAAATCGAAGGCAAACCCTAAAGGAACCAGCTTCAGGCTGTGTGCGAATTTAAGGGTTTGAGGTCTTAACTGACTTTAGTCGAGTGTTCTCAGTCGAGAACACTCGATTAAAGTCCGTTTTTACCCCAAAAGGCTCAAGTCGGAGTTACGAGCAGAGCGAGTGAGAGATAGGTCTGAGTTCGGAGGTGTTTTTTCTGTTTCTCTGTTTGTTTTTCATGTTTTGTTGTTTGTTTGTTTAAGATGAGTTCAAATTCATCTTTTATCAATTACTCCTTTCTTTGTCCAATCAAACCTTTTTATTTGGTCCAATTTTATCATTGCTTCTGTTTGTTGTCGATTGTTATATATTATAATTTGTGTAATCGATTGAATAAGTGTCATCGATTAGTCTGGTATACTTGAATGTTAGATTAGCATGATAATGGTTTAATTTGTGGTTCATTCCAACAGGTTTACCCTCCTGTTTCTTCTCTGTTCTAATTTTGTGTTGAAGTAAGCCTGTTGGTATCGTTTGTTTCAAATTGTTCTAATTTCCCTTTCTCATTGTTATTCACCATGTTTTTTCATATGAGTTCAGTTTGTTTCGTTCAGTGTTCATTTGTTCTTGTTTAGGTTTAATCTAGAAGTGTGTTAGTTAAATCACTGAATCTTTATTTTGATGATATTTGGTCTAAATTGAGTTTCAAGCTTAAATTGTGATTTGAGTTTGATGAATCTTAGTGTTGTTCTGATATGAATCTGATCTTGAATGTTGATATGAATCTGACCATGATGAACTTATTCTTAAGTGTTGTCAATTGGGAGTTAGTCTCATATGATTTGATTAGTCAATTGTTAGGACTTCTCACTTAAGATTGGTTATAGCTGCTATAGTTTGGTTAATTGATTAGGAGGATTGGATATAGCTGATGTTGTAGAATAGTAATTTCAGTATTTTCAGGGGTATTTTGGGATTTAAAGTTTTAAAAATGATTAATTTGAGTGTTCTGTCCACTAACCACTAATAATATTAAAATAAGACATTGTTTAATACATAGTGGGGAACAAGGCATGCAAGTGCGGGGAACAAAATAACTTCAAACAAGAAGACATTAAGTAATGGGATTAAAAGGGGGATAGGCAGTGAAAATCTGATGGTTTCAAGGCAGAGATAACATGCCTGCTTTTGGGTTATAAATAGGGTCATTCAAGACAGAAAAGGGGCGGTTTTTTTGGAGAGGAAAAATCAGTTTTCTTTCAGTTCTTTTTTTCCAAAAAGTCTAGGTTGGAAATCTGAAAGGGGCTGAGGTTTTGGTATAAAGAGGGTCTGGACAGAGTTGAAAAAGGGGGAAGATTCTGAAAATCAATGGAAAAGGGTCCTAAAATCAGTCTAGGATAGATGTTAAGTCAGTTCTTGTTTCTTCTTTAGCTTGGGAGAATCAGTTTAAAAGGAAAAAGGGTTAGGCATTCATGGAGTTTGTCACTGTTTAATTGAGGTTCTGAGTGTCTTTTATTTGAGAATCTAAAGAACAGAAATCAGAAAATCTACTCTCCTGTCTCATTTCTGAATACATTCTGTTCCTGTCTGTGAATTGCTTGGTGTTTTCTGGTTTCACTCCTGGGTTTTGGGACTGCTTGTGCTGGGTGTTTGTGTTGCTGTTGGTGTTGCTGGGAATTTTAACTGGTTTCCTGAGTCACTGCTGGTTATCTTTTGTTGCATTGCTGTTGCAACTAATGTTATTATTGTTGCTGACTGCTCCTTCATCTTCTTGTATTTCCATTATCCAGGTACACGCTCTAAAGCTCTCAAATTTAATGGAAAGGAAGTAAAGAGTTGTTTGAAGGGATTTCTGAATTTCCCTTGTTTCTTTGTGCTTAATTTAATGTACAAACAGTAGTTCACTTGATATTTCATAGTAGGTATTAGAATGACTTTGGAATGCATAAACTGGACTGATTGAATCTATTTCTACAAACATGTGAATATCAATTGTAATTAATCTTAGTTGGTGATTACTAGTTATGAAATATACTGTATTTGATTCTTTTTCAGTAGTCGTGAAATAGTTTCAAATAGTTTATGTCACAAAACAGGTTCAAATAGTTTATGGAAATTAGCATGTTGGTTTAATAGGTCTAATTCTAAAATTGCGAGTTCACTTGAGTAAATAACATCATTTTAAATAGCAATGTAAATAACGTTAGTATCTAATGTTAGTTCTCAAATGTTAGTGATTAATGTTAGCCTGATGTCAGTTTTTAAGCATTGATGCATTTTTTAACAAGTCGTGAAAAGAGTTAAAAATGGCTTTGTATTACACATAGTTAATTCCAATAATCCAATTCATCTAATAAAGCTAAAGTTGAACTGGGTCGAAAGGGTAGCTGGTTTGTTAATATTTACAACGGCAGGCGATGGATTTTAATTTAGGTAGCGGGTTCAAACTAGAAGGTGTTTCCTTTTGTATGGACCCGGACTTGAACTTGAAGCCTGAACTTTTAATGCTAATTGATTAGGATTTTTCTTTAT